CTCCTTAGTAATTGCTGAAACCATGGCAAAACTATATTAAATCTTATCAAAAATCCTGTTGAAACTATGCTGAAATGACAAAATCTCAAAATGCGAAACTCTGCCAAAACTCTAATAAGCAATCAATGTGTAACCTGCCGAAACCCTGCTGATTGATTTCTGGAGGAGTTTTGGCAAGCAACCTTAGAGAGGTCTATAGTTCAAAAATAACATTGATTATTTTTTTATTTATAAGGTCTAATGGGAATAATGGAATAATAATAAAAATAATAATAAAATACATTCCTTTGTGATTTTAGATAATACATGTCCTTGATACAAAAAAGTTGATTCATCACAGGAAAATATAACACCGAAATGAAATCTTCTTCAGACATGTCATAAAACTGCCCAAATTTGTTAAAATAGCAAATTCTATAAAAAAAAAAAATCATTAAAATTAAGTTATTAAATTCAATTATTAATTATTAATAAAAAACCATTCTTACAAGTTTTCAGTGATTTTTTTTATAAAAATTTTTAATACTATGGTTGTATTGGAACTCAATTATAGATGCTGGTCGCAATTCTTGGTGATGGTTGCAACCATATTTGCGGCATATAAAAATGGTTTGCAACACCTGGTTGCGACCACTTTGGTTTCCTTTTTTGGATTGCGACATGGAACACTAAACTCGATATGTCTAAATCATGCCATCTTTCCTAATATTTTCAAGCACCAAATTTTCAGCCAGTTTAACATTCCATTAATATCGTTGTCTTCTAGTACATTATTATCATTGGTTATATTTGAGATGTCAATTTTCAATTTTTCTTTTATCAAATTGAATTTTTTGTTTTTATATCTATTGCTATTGAGTTCAAATATCCCAATTCTAATTAATGATCTAAAATAATAAAATAATTAGATGTGGCAGTGTTAGACATTTAAAGTAACATTTAAAGTATGTATACCCTTTTCTTGACTGGTGAAAGATTGAAAGTAATTGCAAAAAGATAGAATCATATTTCAATGACTTGATGCAACAAAATTTTAAAAAAAAGAAGTAAATTAATAATTTCAACCCATACAAATGACATCTATTAAAAAAAAACATACATTTTTCCCAAATAAGTCAATATGGTTCCTTTAATATTATAAAATTTTTTAATTTGTTTTCTAAAAAAAAAGCTAGATCATTAATTTCATACTTGAATCATATTCATTTTTGCCTGCAGCTTCCTTCAGTCTTTTTTTAACTACCTCTTCCTTTAATTTTTCAGTCTTTCTCTTCAGATCCTAAAAAAAAATTTCATTTGTGGAGAATTAAAAAAATTTTTTTATATTATTTGAAATATCAACATTATTAATTCATTAAAATACCTTCTCAACATTCTCATTTACTTCTGACAATACTCTAAGAAATAAAATTAGTAACTAGAGTGACGACAAGTGGCAATAACCACCACCATCCTTATGATAAACACTTACCCTGCGACATCTTCCCAATTATTTCCTCTTCTTCTTTTATTGTTTTCTTTGGGCATGTTTATTATTATAAAAAAAAAGTTTGTGATTTGATCAACACATACACATTAATTATTTATCCTATTGGTTTTTTTTTTTAGTAGGACAGGTGTGAATTGATTTTATTTTTTGACAGAGTCCAATGTGAGTGTTGTCATTTGTTTGGTTTGGGTCTCCTAAAGAATACGTGTTAATAACTAACCAGAGGTACTTTTTTTTATTTGTATTGATATTTTTATTTTAGCTTATAAATATTTTAATTGGAATCAAAACGTGGAGCAGATCATTGCTGGGTAATTACAAGATTCTTATCAAGATTGTGTATTTTTCTTTTCGTAATTATTAATAATATTATTATAAATATTATAATCGCAAGATGTCAAGGCAGCACATTGTTGCAAAAGAGACAATTCAAATATGATTATCAGAAATAATTGGCAGACGTTAAAGCACACATGCTACCTTGAACACATTTCAGTCATTCTCATGTCTTCCTCGTGTACATAAGCTAATCTGACCATGTCTCTCCAAGGATACAATGATGCAACCGAATTTTTAGGGGGGGTGTATGGCTCTGGAGTTTACCAAGATTGTATCAATTGTCAATGACACTTTCACTAATCTTCCCTCACCAGAGATGGCTGCTGCCACATTAGCTGAAAAGTCATCTGCAATGATCCCACCTCTAGGGTAAGGATGGCTCTGTGATCAAGCTGCAACTCTGGAGGAACATTAAGAGAATCTGCAGCTTGTTCAAGCACAGGATGTCACAATCCAGAGCAGGGTTAGTGGCCCTGAAATTGCATTTGGACTCTGATGTTAAGAGGAAAGTTGTAAAATAGTGTCTGTTTTGTATAATTGTTTTCATAAATTCTCTGTTTCTCTAATACTAACCAATTTATAATTTTGGGTAGGGGACTGAACTGGGTTTTTGCCCAATCAATCCCCTGTCCTGTAGGTTAAAATTATTACATGATTATATACATCTTTGTCAGCAATATAGCCAACAAGAAAAAGTCATAAAATGGTTCGGATTTTGTTATGATTATAAATTAATCATTTCCCCAAATTTTCTGCATCTCTTTAATTTTTATTTGACCAACTGAATTTGTTATTTAAATG